GTCATTCCTGGTCCGAGTGGCTGGTGGATTTGCTCCAAGACGGGCTTAACTCCTTGCCTAAGTATGGCGCTCTTCAACGAGTCAGAAGAATATTGTATAATGGTTTTTGTGTTTCCTAAAATAATATACCACACCAAAAAAGCTATATATACCAGCAAAGTAGGCCAAGGCGTCAGCAGTCTAATTTTCCGTAAAAAAAGAGAGCCCATTACTGCTATCACTCTAGCTACCCTATTTGGTCTAGGGGCAATAGGGGCAAAAACTGGCATCTCCTCCCTAGCCATGCAGCAAAGGGGATTTAACTCCCTCAGGGCGGCTATCAATGAGAATATCGCCAGGATTAAAGAGTCCATCTCCCACTTAAAAAAGTCTTTAACCTCCCTCTCAAAAGTAGTTTTGCAAAACCAGAGAGGGTTAGACTTGGTGTTCCTGCAACAGGGAGGGCTATGTGCGGCCCTCCGGGAAGAATGCTGTTTCTATGCTGACCACACAAGAGTAGTAAAAGAGTCCATGGCCAAAGTAAGAGAAGGACTTGCTCGTCGCAAACGAGAATACAAAGAACAAACAAGTTGGTTTGAGTCCTGGTTCAATAGTTCCCCCTGGCTGACTACCCTGATTTCCACGCTTGTAAGACCACTAGTAATCTTGCTCTTAGCCCTGACATTTGGGCCCTGCATATTAAACAAACTTATAAAATTTGTAAAAGACAGGGTCAGTGCCGTTCAGCTTCTGGTGCTACAACAGCAATATCAAAAAATCGGGACAAATAATGCAGACCCAGAACTTGTAAATTACCCAGAAGACGAGCAAGAGTGCTCGTCAGCTATGTAAAGGAAAGGGGGAAATGTGGGGGCGCCTCGATGGCCCTTCGGCAGCGTCTCAGTGGCACAACAAGAAAAGAGTTTTCCGCCCCCCTTCGTGTGAAGTAGGGTGAGGCAATTAGCGAACAGCACACATCTGTTTATACTCATACCTCCGGTTATCTCTTGGGTTGTGAAGAAAGGCAAAAGGGAGGTGGGATGCACAGGGATCGCGCAGAATTCAAAGAAAATTAATCACTTCAAAGGTCAGCTCATGGCCAGCGCATAATTAGTTTGTGCCTTGCTAGGGCCCTTTGGGGGGGGGATAAAAGGCACCCCGCAATTCAGGTCGGGGTCCTTGCCTGCGAGAGTGGCCACTGCGTTGGTGCTCTGGGGCTTGGACCCTGGCTAGCCAGAAAATAAACCTCCTCTTTTGTGATTGCATCCTCAATGTCTCTGCTTCTCTGTCCGGTGGGGCTGTGGAAGGTCGGTCCCTAACAGTGACAACAACAACGTTTTCAGTGATGTGCTCGGTCTGCACGGCAGTGCGACTGATGCGTACAGTGCTGCGAGAACCACTCTCAGAGATGTTTAAGACCGTTCCGTCTGTAAGAGTCACTGATCTCTGTTGATAAATTCCTGGTCAGAAGGTTTACAGATACTGGAACTTTCTTTGATGAAAACGTCTCCCAATGTGTGAGGGTAAAAGCCACCTATTTCTGGCATCAGTTAGGAAGAAGGCATCGCTTCACTTCATAGGCTTTATGTTCCTTCTTTAAAGTTTGGAGGAGGATAATCTGAGATATGGCTTTAATGCCATGATTGTTCAAAAGCTTTCTGTAGAAACATTCTGTCTGTTCAGGAGGTTTTTGGGGTTCATCCTTGGTAAATAAATATTTCTTCTAAATCTGATCGAATACCCTGAGGTAAGGACAATCCGACCCTCAGTTCCTTACTTAGAATTTTCCATAATACCACCATTAAAAATAAATTTTCATTCTTTTTTTTTTTTTTTTTTTTTGAGACAGAGTCTCGCTTTGTTGTCCAGGCTAGAGTGAGTGCCGTGGCGTCAGCCTAGCTCACAGCAACCTCAAACTCCTGGGCTCGAGCGATCCTTCTGCCTCAGCCTCCCGAGTAGCTGGGACTACAGGCATGCGCCACCATGCCCGGCTAATTTTTTATATATATATCAGTTGGCCAATTAATTTCTTTCTATTTATAGTAGAGACGGGGTCTCGCTCTTGCTCAGGCTGGTTTTGAACTCCTGACCTTGAGCAATCCGCCCGCCTCGGCCTCCCAAGAGCTAGGATTACAGGCGTGAGCCACAGCGCCCGGCCTAAATTTTCATTCTTATTCGAAAGAAATCTGTTATTGTTTTTTCTGGACTTGGAATATGCCAAGAGAGCATCCCCTGCCTTTCTAATTATGTGCCAGGCCCCTGGTCAAAGCGCTTTACATGCATCACCTCTTCTGAACCTGCCCTTTGACCAGCTGCTTCTCTGCGGTCAAGGCCTCTGGAATCGAGGTAGAGCCTGCAGTCGCTATTCACTTGGCCCAAGTAGAGGCTGAGTCCTCCATTTCTCTTTCACCTTGTGGGGATCCGTGTGTGGAACCCCCAAAGCTGGTGTTTTCATGGTCTCTGTGTCAGTCACCCTGACACCTCCTGATGTTACCTTAGTTCTCCTTTACTCTAGTCCCCTGGTCTAACTCAGATCAACAGCTCTGGAGCCTTGGAGCTCCCTTTCACCTCCCCCAGAGCATTGGCCCTGGGTGGTTGTAGGTTGGGCAGCAGCTTTGTTCCACGTGCAGGACAGAACCCTCAGTGCAGTCCAACAGAAGACACTCTCATGATTTGAGTTGTTTCTTGATGAAAACTCTAAAGCAAGGTCTAGAAGTTCCACTGTCTCTAGAGAATGCTGTGGGTTTGATTTTGTTTGCAGGTCCTGTTGCAGCAATGTGCTCAGCTAGCGATACAGCTCTTGTTACAGCTCTTATTCGTTTGACCGGGGAAAGAACCAACCGGCACACAAACAGTTGGAGAACAGCCTTTATTCTTCTACAGCAGGCTCAGCAAACCTAGCGTGACAGCTCCCTTTGCATCTTCCAATCTTCTGCCCCTTCTGCTCCTGCTTTTATACCCTTGGTAGGGCTCAAAAAACGTCCAATCAACTACAAGCTTTTACATCCAGTCAGTAGCAAGCTTTAACATCCAATCAACAACAAGCTTTAACATCCAATCAAAAACAGTGGGATTCAAAAATTACCCAATCAGGATCACGCAAGCAGCGTGGCCAGAAACAGGCAGCGGGCACATGGGCCTGGGGGCATTCCAGCATGCCGGGTTGGGGGCGGTGGGCGGCCCTCTGCCGCAGGGCCCAACCCCAACCCCAGCCCCAGCAGCGTGCCCTCCAACTGGCCAGGCACAGCGCTGGCCCTCGGAGATTCGGAACTACGGGGAGGCGGCAAGCTGCCGCGTCCCGCTGCCAGACATTTTCCGAATCAGTCCCTTGACCTTTCCAGTTTCCTCCCACCTTCCCTAGTTACCACATAATTCTTGAATGGCTAACTGGGAGACCTATGTCGGGGTGTTTCTCATTCTTTTTCGTGCCTAGTATGTTATAAATTTCTAAAGGTACGGCAGTGCTCCTGGACAGGGGTGAAGAAGGGTCTTATTCTCATAAAAGGCTGTATGTGTGCATGGATATGTAAGGGAGAATTTTTCAGCTCCCTTCCTAATAGTAGCATAACTGTAAACTAGCAACTAAAAGAGTGACTTTTGACTAGATTTCTGTCTTGTGCATAACTGCAAGCTAGCAACTAAAAGAGTGACCTTTGATTAGATTTCTGTCTTGTGCATAATTGCAAACTAGCAACTAAAAGAGTAACCATTGATTAGATTTCTGTCTTGTGCATAACTGCAAAATAGCACGACTGAGTAACAGTCTCGTGACTAGACCACAGTCTTGTGCAGACTTTGTAACCATTTGCTTCTGTAACATATAAAAGCCACCAGGCTTAGACCCCATTTTGCTCAGAATTTGGAGGCAAGACCCTTCTGAGCCTGTCGGCGTACTAAAAGCCTGCTTTGCAAGTGCTCTCATGTGGCTATCGGGTTTGCTTCCCGGTCCAGTTTGCTGTAACAGATAGAGAAGGAATGAAGGGGTTTGTGGGGAAAGACTGATATGAACTGGAGCTAAAATCTAGTTTACCACAACATACTAACTTGCAACTCACTGTGGGATTCTGACACACTCATTAGGAAACTCATTAGTCCAGTCTCCAAATCCAGACCTCCTAGCACTGGCTCTTCAGTCTTGGGCAAATCAGCTAAATTTTTTGAGCCTCAATTTTAACATCTTTAAGACAGAGATAATATTTTCTGGGTTGTTGTGAAGATCACACTGAGGAAGTATTAGGCAAAAATAAAGTGCTGATATTACTATATTTCATTGACTCTAAGATGCTAATGATTGTGAGATGCACCATTATTTTAAATACCACTAAGAAAGAAAAAATACTGCCAATTAAACAAAGACACATTGCTTTATTATCACTTAGAATGTATATATGTATATATATATATATATATATATTTTTTTTTTTTTTTTTTTGAGATAGAGTCTCGCTTTGTTTCCCAGGCTAGAGTGAATGCCATGGCGTCAGCCTAGCTCACAGCAACCTCAAACTCCTGGACTCAAGGGATCCTCCTGCCTCAGCCTCCTGAGTAGCTGGGACTACAGGCATGTACCACCATGCCCTGCTAATTTTTTCTATATATATTAGTTGGCCAATTAATTTCTTTCTATTTATAGTAGAGACTAAGTCTCGCTGTTGCTCAGGCTGGTTTCGAACTCCTGACCTAGAGCGATCCTCCCGCCTCAGCCTACCAGAGTGCTAGGATTACAGGCGTGAGCCACCGCGCCCTGCCCTAGAATATTTATATATATATTGAAAGAGATTTTTGGGTGGCTTGTTTAGATGTTGATGACTTTTACCATAAATCATTGTGTATACACAAAAAGGAAGACACAGAAATTAAGGTATTCTGAATTTTCTTACTGCTAAATAACTTGTCAATGCATTTTATTATTGTCTGTGGTTTTTCCACACTATGTTACCTATGTGTCATGGAGGATGCAGCATTTCTTAAAAGAGTTGTTCATCTTGTCTTTGGGATGTTCTTCCAATCCTCTAACACCAGTTCGGCATGGCTGATGTGTGTGAACAAACAATGACATCTATCTCCTGCCTGGCACTTGGCCAACTGCAACTGTAAGACATCTTGATATCAGAGAGGCAAAATGTGGAAATATCTATGTGTTTGAACTGATGAAATATAGTAGTATGATTTATTCCATCATTATTTCACAGGTTCGGACTTTGAGAGACGGAATATAAAAACAGACAATGGCCAGATCATATTAATATATAAAAAGAGAATTTTGACTGACCACAACATGCAACAATCTGCCCAGGAAACCAGCCCCTTCTCAACAATAAACAGCCTGCTATAAGTTAGACTTGCAGGAAGCCAGGTTGCATTCTCTAATAACAATCCTGGAAGCTAAACATTAACTTCCATAACAATTAGCTGCAAATGATCAGGACTTGATTAATAGCTGATAGCTTCCCTAATTTTTGTCCCCTTTCTCCAACTAGAGAAAGCCAAGCATGCTGCCCTGACCAATCACATAGGATGCCCCACTCCTAGTTAGCCCCTACAGCTTCCCCACACCAATAGCCTCCAATCAGGGCATACCTGAAGCCTTCACTTTTCCCCCACTATAAAGCTTTCCCATTCCTCTGCCTGCCTGTGAATCTCTGCAAAAACACAAGTGATGGTGACTATCTGCTATGACAAACTCTGAATAAATAGCCTTTGCTTTTCTCATCTGGTTGGTCTTCATTTATTTTCACAGCTTGTAAGAAAAACAGTAATGAAACCCTTTGCCTCTTCTTAGGAACTGTACTTGCTGTGTGAACAAACTCCTCTGGGTGGATGGTTGTCTGGGATGTGGCCCTGTGATGTGGACAGGGCAGGCTTCCCACTGACATGAATGAATGAGCGAAATAATTTTGGAAGTTTCCACATTTACCTATTCTTTTCTTCCTTCCTGTCTCTTTTCTGTTTTTCCTTTGAAGTTCTTGAGGCCAAATCTGGCTCCTAAAAAACATCAAAGGAAGCTTGCACCAAACACCCTTGAGGGCTGCCTCTGAAGCCTGCCATCACCTGCTGTGTGACGCAGAATGGCGCCCCCTGCTTGTGTGCTCTCCTCACTGCTGCTGCTGGTGACCATTGCAGGTAGGGAACCACTGCCCCGAGATGCCAGTGCCAGACTTGAGTGTCTCAAGCAGGTCTGATCAACCTGAGGTGAAAGGGCTGTGTGTTTGCTTTTCAATAGTTATTTTACATATAAAAGGTATGGAAGGCAGACCTCAAGCATGAGTGGTTTTTTTGGAAACAGGAATTTTGAATTTAAATTTAAATTTTTTGTTATCATGATCATTTGGTGGAAAAATAAAATCACATTTCATATATACTAAGAAAATTTTATATTTCTATATTTAAAGGAATTGCATAGTAGATATTTCTGGAAAGATCAGGCTCTCTTTAACCATAAATCTTTATTTTCATTATATTCAGTTTCCTTACAGTGTACACACCCATGGCATAAAATCATTGGTGAACATCACTGGTGATCCATGACAAGGCTGGGCTGGCCTGGCCCATGTGAGTGTGTCAGGTCAGGGATTGAGGGTAGAGAGATGACTGGAGAAACTGTCTTTTTTAGAGACAGAGTCTTGCTTTTTCTCCCAGGCTAGAGTGCAGTGGCATGATCATAGCTCACTGCAACTTCAAACTCCTGAGCTCAAGTGATCCTCCCACTTCAGCCTCTGAGTAGCTGGGACTACAGTGCCTACCATCATGCCCAGCTAATTTTCTATTTTTTTGTAGAGAGGGAGTCTTGCTTGCTGTTTTGTGCAGGCTGGTCTCTAATTCCTGGCCTCAAGTGGTCCTCCTGCTTCAGCCTCCCAGAGTGTTGGGATTTACAGGCCTGAGCCACTGCACATAGCCCCCTTTTTGCCCTTTTCTTATGAGGTGTTCTCCATAATTCATTAATGCCTGCTAGGTATGGACCCTGTCTCTCTAAAAAAGATTAAAAATTAACCAGGCGAATGCGCTGCCTTTGAGCCCATGTCTTGCCTCCATATGGCGCCTGGGGTCAGGCTGTAGGGCAGATGCCAGAGGACCAGCTTGCGCATAATTGGGGCCACCCCTTCCCCTCCCAGTGGCCCTTCTAACTGCCAGTGACACTGGTGAAGAAAAAAAAAATTAACCAGGTGTGGGGCTGGGCGCCTGTAGTCCCAGCTACTTGAGTAGCTGAGGCAGGAAGATCACTTGAGCCCAGGAGTTCTAACTTGCAGTAAACTATGATTGTGTCACTGTACTTGAGCCTGGGCAATAGAGTGAGACCCTGTCTTAAAAAAAAAATCAATTCCTGAGTTACTGAGTCCCAATAATGTTATTTGCAGTTTGCTTGTCTTCCTTCTCTATTTTCTTTACCTTTGTTAAATGTTAACCAATGATTTTATTGATTTGTGAACAATGATCAAGTGCCTACTATGTTCACAGGCTGGGCTATGTATTAATAGAACATGCAAATATGGGTGACAGGTTCCCTGGTCTCTAGGAGTTTAGTAGTTCTTCAAGAGCTTTCTAGAATGTGTCTAATAGATTCTGAAGTAATTATGGCAACTTGGCCCAAAGTAAGAATGATTTAGTTGTTGGGAGCCCTACCTTATCATGTTTCTTTATTCAGCATTAGGATCTTTACTTAAGGTATGTATATCTAAACAGCCCCTATTCAGGCAATTTTCTTACAGAACAAAGGGACGATGCCTCCCAGAAGTGTGCCAAGATCTCTACCTACGGCCAGACTGAAAACTGTGCTAAGCTTGGAGTCAAAGCCTTCTGCCATAGAAGGGTCTCATTACCTCCTCGTAACAATTTACTTGCTCTAGGATCACAGACTTTTCCCTGTATAATGGTTCCTATGACACAGTTTCAAAAGTTGGCTCTTGAACTTTCTGGTGACCAAAGCCAGATATGAAATATGATATTTTTCTGAATCACATTGTCCAAAAGGAGATGAGCCAAACGTTTCTCAAGGAAACTAAAGTGTATCCTAGAATTTAGGTTTGAAAGAAATTTCTAGCTTGGGTCCTCATGTAAACGTTACTCAGAGATGTAGTGCTATCTCTAAAAACGAGCACAGTGTTTTTGAGAGTAGTTAGGAGTTTGAGATTACCTTTCTCTCTATTCTACATTCTTCATCATGATAAAAGATATTATTTTGTTATGTTCAGCTGAAGTGTATTATTATTTTCTCTGTATTTGAGATTAAGCTTTTCCTTTGAAAAAGATAAGCTTTTCTCTAGAAGAAAAAGCTAAAACCATTCAGGTGGTTTTTTAAAAAATGGATTTGCATTGGAGAAAATGCCATTTCAGTTTAGTTAAAGTAGTTTGTTGCTAGCTTATTCACTGGGAAAGATGCATGTCTATTATATCTAATTCCTATTAAATTGGACTAACGAGATTTTCCTATAGAGGCATTATCTGGCATTGAGTGATCTATAGCAATGATAGTGTATATAGGTAAACATAAAGATGATTCCTATACTGTGTATAGCCATTTTCATTTATTTCTAGTTAAAAGAAATCTCTGACAATCCCTTATATTAAGAAATAGCAATTATTTTAAAAATTATCAGTAATGAGTTCTCACTAGGAAAGAAATCTCTTTACATTCTGAGTTCTGCAGCAGAACTTTTTTTTTTTTTTTTTTTTGAGACAGAGTCTTGCTTTGTTACCCAGGCTAGAGTGAGTGCGTGGCGTCAGACTAGCTCACAGCAACCTCAATCTCCTGGGCTCAAGCAATCCTTCTGCCTCAGCCTCCTGAGTAGCTGGGACTACAGGCATGTGCCACCATGCCCGGCTAATTTTTTCTATATATATTAGTTGGCCAATTAATTTATTTCTATTTATAGTAGAGATGGGGGTCTCGCTCTTGCTCAGGCTGGTTTCAAACTCCTGACCTCGAGCAATCCGCCCGCCTCGGCCTCCCAGAGTGCTAGGATTATAGGCGTGAGCCACTGCGCCTGGCCTGTAGCAGAACTTTAATACAGTGCTTCTCAAACTACATGTGGTGAAGGACCAGCTTTTTTTGGTGTCCATTCCATCACAGACTGATTCTTTTGTAGAATACCAAAAAAAAAAAAAAAAAAAACCCCACAAAGAAAACCTAAGAATACAAAAAAAGTAATTTTGCACCTGGATTTTAAGTAATTAAAAATTGCTATAGAAGTTCTAAAAGCATCTGTTTCTGTGATTTCTCTATGGTAACAGAGTTCATGGACCTGCAGTATAGCCAACCACACTTTGCACTGCACCACCACCTCCTACAGTAACTGATTGGCAACCCTTATAGCTCATTCTTTAGAATCTGATTAAAATTACTTGGTTATAGGTATGTATTGAGGACAAGTTTTTCTCTCCTTTGATATTTCCCTTTCAATGGATCTATTATCAAAGAAAACTCTTGAAAATTTTTTTAAAGAATCAGCTAACAACAATAACAATAAAACAAATGCATGATGTTTTGTAAAGTAAACCTGTATAACTGAATTTTATGTGAGGAACAAAGTATTATAAATTATATAAAAACAGTACACACATAGAGAAGACTGTTTCTGTTAACTAAACAGAGTGAAATTATATAAAGAGAGAGAATGGATGGATGGAAGGGTATATGGATAGGTGGGAGAATCTATGGGTAGATTGTGGGTGGATGGATGGGTGGAAGGATAGAGGGATAGATGGATGTGTGGATGGATGGATACGTGGGTGAATGAAAGGATGGATGGATGGACCAGGGGAAAGGAGGATGGATGGATGGGTGGGTGAAATATGGATGAGTGGGTAGAAGGGTAGAAGGATAAATGTATAGATGGGTGGTTTGATGGATTGACTATAAGATAATATAGTCATCTTTCTATAGGAAGTGCTGATTGTTTATTTGCTTGCCAGACAGGCCAGAGATTGACAGGGCTCTGATTTTTCTGGTTTCTTTAGCTAGAGTTGCTTCCCTGTGGTATGCCTCTCTCCCTCATTAGAGACTGCCTTGTTTATAGGTTGTGCCTGTAAGCAGTGCAGCGAGGGGAGGACGCATTCCAACGCAGTCATTTTACCTAACTTGGAAACGACCAGAATCATGCGGGTGCCTCACACCTTCTCCATGGCCGACTGCACCGCCGCCTGCTGTGACCTGGCCAGCTGTGACCTGGCCTGGTGGTTTGAGGGCCGCTGCTACCTGGTGAGCTGCCCACACAAAGAGAACTGTGAGCCCAAGAAGATGGGCCCCATCAGGTCTTCCCTCACGTTTGTGCTCAGGCCTGTCCAGAGGCCTGCACAGCTGCTGGACTATGGGGAGATGATGCTGAACAGGGGCTCCCCCTCAGGGGCCTGGGGCGACCCACCCGAGGATATCAGAAAGGACCTGCCCTTTCTAGGCAGAGACCGGGGCCTAGAGGAGACATCTGAGTACTCGGATGACTACAGGGAGCCGGAGCAGGACCTCTTCCGTCCCAGGAGCAAGCAGGAGCCCAGAGGGAGCGCTGAGTACACCGACTGGGGCCTGCTGCCTGGCAGCGAGGGAGGCTTCAACTCCTCGGCTGCAGACGCGCCAGCGGATCCGCAGCAGGGCCCGGAACTCCGTAAAATGAACCAGTCGGCTTGGACGCCTGCCCCAGAACGCTCTCCTGAGAGAAGCTTGTTGCTTCCCTTGGTGACTACTCCATCTTCAGGAGAGGTACTGGGGAAAGAAGAGGCTTTTGAGCTCCAGGAACAATCCAGCAACACCTCTGGAAAAGAGGTGGGTGTGTTCAGGATGTGCGTGGGGGTGGAAGGGCGTAAGGAGCCAGCTCTCGCTCTGGCTGTGTGAGCATAAGGAGGTTCCTGTCTCGGGTGGCAGCAAGACAGGTGACTGTCTCTCAGATTTCCAGTAAGCAAAACATCTCACACCTCTGCTGTGCCTTCATGACCAGGCTGTTAGAAAGAACAAATAGGGCTGGGCACGGTGGCTCACACCAGTAATACTAGCACTCTGGGTGGCCGAGGACTTTAAGCCCAGGAGGTTGAGGTTGCAGTGAGCTATGATTACACTGTACTTTACCCAGGGCAACAGAGCGAGACTCTTGTCTCAGAACAAAACAAAAAACAGAAAAGAAAGAACAAAGTTCTGCCTTCACAAGTTGGCCAACTCATGATGATTTAGCAATTTTTCCTAAAGATGCCTCTACCAATATTTAAAGTGAATGAAGATTTTATAGAAGTCCCTGGAGCCAGCACATATACCCAGAGGCTTTGAAAATCTACCATAGTAGGTTTCTTCAGGGCCCAGCAGATACTTAAGTTGCTAGAAACTCAACTGTGACATGATGAATCAGTTAGATAGAAGGAGAGATATATCAAGGAGAGAACATAAGCTTTATTAAAAACTCAGGTGAAAAAAGAATGGGAATCATTGGGAGAGTAGAGATACCAAAAGCAGGGAGAAGGTCTAAGTATTAATAGCAGAAGATCAGGGAGATAAAGAGTGAGAAAACTGCAATGAGAAGAGAGTAGTTGGAGAGCTTAGAGCTACTTGTTTGGGAAATGGTTAGGGCTTGATGGGAATGTGTTGAACATGTTGATCAGAGAGGAAGCTGACTACAGTTGGAAATGAAGTGACAAAAAGACATGGGAGTCCTTTAAGAATTTTTTAAAGGAAAATAGTATTTAAGTATTTTGTGCTTAGGTTAGAATAAATGAAGAACACTGATTGAACTGACTATACATTATAATCTCAACCAGGAAAAACTGCAAAAAAAAAGTCTATAAGTCATTTTTATTTAAAAATTATTTCAATTAATTTTTTATTTTTAATTATTATACACAATAGTATATATTTATAGGGTACATGTAATTTTTTTTTTTTTTTGAGACAGAGTCTCACTTTGTTGCCTAGGCTAGAGTGAGTGCCGTGGCGTCAGCCTAGCTCACAGCAACCTCAAACTCCTGGGCTCAAGCGATCCTTCTGTCTCAGCCTCCCAAGTAGCTGGGACTACAGGCATGAGCCACCATGCCCAGCTAATTTTTCTATATATATTAGTTGGCCAATTAGTTTCTTTCTATTTATAGTAGAGACGGGTCTCACTCTTGCTCAGGCTGGTTTCGAACTCCTGACCTCGAGCAATCCGCCCGCCTCGGCCTCCCAGAGAGCTAGGATTACAGGCGTGAGCCACCGCGCCCGGCCACATGTAATGTTTTGATGTAGGCATATGATGTGTAATAATCAAATCAGGGTCATGGGGTATCCATCACCTCAAGCATTGATCATTTCTTTGTGTTAGGAACATTCCAATTCTACTCTTTTAGTTGTTTTAAAATATACCATAATTTATTATTGACTATAGTTACTTTGTTGTAATATCAAATATTATTTATTCTATCTCACTATATTTTTGCACCCATTAATTGTTCCCATTTTCTCCCCCTCACCCCCGCTACTCTTCCCAGAGACTTTAATAACCATCATTATACTCTCTGTCTCCATGAGATCAATTGTTTTAATATGTAGCTCCCACATATGAGTGAGAACATGGAAAGTTTGTCTTTCTGTGCTTGGCTTAACATAATTTTCTCTAGTTCCATCCATGTTGTTGCAAGTGACATTATTTTATTCTTTTTATGGCTGGATAATATTCCATTATGTATAGATACCACATTTACTCTATCCATCCATCCACTGATAGATACTTAGGTTAATTCCATAACTTGACTGTTACAAATAGTGCCGAAATAAACATGGGAGTGAAGATATCTTTTTGATATTCCAATTTCCCTTCTTTTGGATATATACCTAGCAGTGGGATTGCTGAGTCATATGGTAGTTCTATTTTTAGTTTTTTGAAAAACCTCTACACTATGATCCATAGTGGTTGTACTAATTTACATTCCCATCAACAGTGTATGATGGTTTCCCTTTCTCCATATCCTTGTCAGCATTTATTATTACCTGTCTTTTTTATATAAGCCACTTTCGGATGAGAGAATATCTCATTGCAGTTTTGATTTGCATTTCTCTGATGAGTAATGATGTTGAGCATTTTTCACATAACTGTTGGCCATCTGTATGTCTTCTCTTTTTTTTTTTTGAGACTGAGTCTCGCTTTGTCACTCAGGCTAGAGTGAGTTCTGTGGTGTCAGCCTAGCTCACAGCAACCTCAAACTCCTGGGCTCAAGCAATCCTGCTGCCTCAGCCTCCTGAGTAGCTGGGACTACAGGCATGCACCACCATGCCCGGCTAATTTTTTCTATATGTATTAGTTGGCCAATTAATTTCTTTCTATTTATAGTAGAGACGGGGTCTCGCTCTTGCTCAGGCTGGGTTCGAACTCCTGACCTCGAGCAATCCGTCTGCCTCGGCCTCCCAGAGTGCTAGGATTACAGGTGTGAGCCACTGAGCCCAGCCTGTATGTCTTCTTTTGAGAAATATCTTTTCAAATCCTTTGCCCATTTTTAATTGGATTATTTTTAGTTGGATTATTTGATTTTCTCTTATTGAGTTGTTTGAGCTCCTTATGTATTCTAGTTATTAATGCCTTGTTAGATGAGTAGTTTGCAAATATTTCCTCTCATTTTGTGGGTTGTCTCTTTACTTTGTTGGTTCTTTCCTTTGCTGTGCAGAGCTTTTTATCTTAACATAAGCTGTTGTGTGTGTGTGTGTGTGTGTGTGTGTGTTCGTTCATCTATACTAATTGTCCAACCCACAGTTGCCTTACATTTTTAATAGATAGCAGAGAGACTATTTGAAAGAGATGATCTACTAGAGTTCCAGAGTTTTACAATATTCATAGTTTTTCAAACATTACTGAATCTAACTTATAAAAAATGTCAGTGACATTGTATTGCTTGAAGAGTTCAACTGTTTTCTTTCTTAATAATTTATCCTTGTAATTGATCTCATAGGTTCTAATGCCTTCCCATAATCCTCCTCCAGCCAGCCTGGAGTTCAGCCCAGCCACCGTGGAGGAAAGCCAAGTGCTCACAGTCAGCCCGGGGAGCACAGAGCACAGCATCCCAACGCTTCCCGCTAGCACTGTCCCCTCTGGGTCCACCCTATCTGAGCGACCCATATCTCTTACTACTGCTTCCAGGACAGGTAACTTTTAAAAAATACAATTGGGAGAAATGTGCTGAAGACAGGCTGTGGATTTGGTAGTGACAACTTTTAAAGTTTACTCATTCCCTCCAGGCACATTTTTGAGCATCTATCATGTGCCAGAAACAGTGCTGCTTACTGGAAATAAAAAGATGATTAAGACATTGTCTTTCCCTCAGGGACTCGGTAGTCCAGGAGAGGAGACTGACAGGTAAAGAGATGGTTCTGATGCAATATGGTAAGTGCTGTGAGAGGCTGCTATGGGAGCGGAGAGGGGCACCCTGAGTCACGGGGAGAGGCCAGGGAAGCCTTTCCAGGGGAAATGGTGCTAGGGGAGAGTGAGCTGGCAAAACTGAGGTTGGCCTGTCATTCAGGTCGAGGGAGCAATATGTGTAGTGACAGTAGCGATAATCGTATTTACTGAGCACTTCTGGAGCGCCAGGCACCATGCTCGGTGCTTCCGTCTGTCATCTCATTCATTACTGTGCAAGAGAAGAGAAGTACAAGAGCTTATTGAAATTGTGGAAGAACTGTAAGAAGTTCATTGTGGCTGGAACTAGAGTGGGAAACAGGGCAAGAATTTGAAACGTCATGTATTTTTTGCTAAGGAATCTGTGCTTTATTGGATGGATATAGAGAATCAGTCACTGAATGGTTTTAAGTAGGAAAGCAAAACGAGCAGATTTGTATTAAGAAAATAGTTTGGACTTGATTGGAGGCAAGAAGACCCATTAGAAGGCTATAGCGAGTGGTTGCAGGGATGGAGAGAAGGAAGTAGATTCAAGATATAATAAAGGATCAGAATCATTGGGATTTGGTGAGTGATTGAATGTCAGGATGAAGGAAAAGGACTCTGAGATATATGAACATATAGAACTGAAATTAGACGAGTGGTTGGGTAGAAGATAAAGGATTGGGAGTCATAGGTATAGAGGTGATAATTGAAGACATGGGGGCAATATGAGATTATCCAGGCAGAGGAATACTTTGGGGATGTCATCATATAAGGAGCTGGAAGAGCAGAGGGAGCCTGCAGAGCTGACTGGGTGATTATGCCAAAGGGGTAGGAGATAAAGAGGAAAGCATGGAATGAGGGAAGAAAGGGAGGAGAGAATTCTGTAGAAGAGAAAAAAACAATTTTCCCTCTACCCTTCTAAGTTATCTGGAGCCCCTGTAACAAAAAACAAACGGGCGTTTATTAACATGTATGTTTCATATATACATGGGAGCTATCCAGGGAGATAGTTAAATCTCAAAGAGATAGGCTAGAGCACCAGTTTATATAGCATTTTCAACTGAAACAAAGAAAGGTGTGGGGAAGGCAAGTGTTGGAAGGTGCCCAGAACAAGCAAGGTAAGCAAGAGGAAGGCTTGTTATGCAGAGTTAAGTCCCTGCTTTCTCTGTTGATATGAGTCTCTTG